ATGTAATATAAAGAAGCTCTATGTATTAGACTATCAAATGTGTTTGGCATAAGTGAATGACTTGTGCACAGTTTATGTAATTGATGTTTGAGGCAAGTCTACTGTGCTATATAGTATCAAAAACGTTTATAACAAACACTAGAGTATTAGATACAAAGATATTAACCCAAGTATTAGTGCTTCATAGATGAGAAACTTTGACAAGTGCAATTTTTCCAAAAATGGAATTTACCTCAAAGTAAGAAGAGGCTTCCCAGTCAAGATTTGATGAATATAAGCTTCATTAAGCTTCTTGCAAGAATCTTCTTCCATCCTCACAGTCACATCAATTCCTGCATCTCTGAGTCGTTGGACGCCTTTGGAAGCAACAATAGGATTTGGATCCACCATACCAATCACCACCCTTTTCACTTTGGCTTTTATTAGAGCCTCCGTGCAGGGCGGAGTTCTTCCATGGTGATTGCATGGCTCTAAACTAACATATGCTGTCGCATTTTCTGCCAAATCCCCAGCTTCTCGCAGAGCAAATACCTAATCATTTCATTTCTTGCTTCAAAAAATCAGTGGCACTTTTAAATCACAAAACAGATGGGTAAGATCTTGTTTGATAACCTGTTGCAGTAATCTTTTTAAAATATAAGCATATTTTTAGAATAAAGAAACTCTAAGAATAAGTCTTCTTTTTCAAAGTCTCACTCTTATTTCTCTTTTTTAAATTCTAAAATTTGTCTTTTTGTCTCCTAACTTTTTTTGACTCAATTTGTTTTCTAAATCATCTCCCAATCTGTGTAGCCAAGTTCAATTTTGTCCATGATATTTAACCTCAATTTTTATCTTGTAAAGAATACTTTCTATTGACAATTTTTATTATGACTATAACTACATGCCAACACGATCTTAGTTTCATAGTTTCATACAAAACAAACATAATTACAAAATGTTTCTAACGTTTATAGTTGGTTTCAATTTTGCTCCAAACATTTGAGAAGTTTCAATTTACCATCAATATTCTAATTTCCATTAAACATTAAACAAATGTGCTAACACAAAGGGGTTCTTTTCGAACAAGTTGAAAATTTGGGATAGAATATGAACTTCTTAGAAGTTAGTAACAAAATCATATCCAACCACCTAAAGGGCCTTTTGAGAAGTTCTTAATTTTTATCCTCCTATCTCTTGCTTATCTACCTCTTTCTCAACAACGCTTCTTTTCATCTTTCTCAATTTTCCTTTTTTTCTCTCTTTTTTAATCTCTCTAAAATTATCTTTTAAAAAAAGTTGTCATAGATTCTAGAAAAAGCATGAAACCAAGAATAAAAGCACAAAAAAAAGATTCTATAGGTTATAACGATAAGTTTTCACCTCTATAAAGCCAAAACGCATAAACTCTGAAAAGAGTAAAGTTGTGGCGAGAAAATGGAATGGAATTAGAGATTTACCTCAGCATGAGGTTGGCCTGCTTTAGGATGAAAGCCTTCGCCAACAATCTTCCCATTCTTAACAATTACACATCCCACCATGGGATTTGGGCTTGTGTGGCCAACTGCCTTCCTTGCAATCTCCAAAGACCTCCTCATGTAAACCTCATCATCAGCATCACAATCAGTGTCTTGAATCGCACCAACACATTTAGCCAAATGCCCTCTCCTACATCTCTCTGATTTAACCGTCCATTTCAGTGAACTCAAAACCCTAGATCTTGAGCAATCATAGAGCCCGAGTTCGTCATTGTGATGGTAATGGTGATGGTGAATTGATGAATACTGAGGAAAATTAAGGGATATAGGTGGAGTAAATTTTGGAGTTGCATTCCTTCAACATCAAGTAAGAACAATCAGCAACACAACTTGAGTTTACATGAAAATTCCCTAGCAGAGACTACAAGTAAAATCAAGCCAAATTCTGCTCCATTTGTAATGTCTCCAGGACATTTAGAGAAATTCAAACTCAACAGAGTAGTAAAAACCGGGGAATTTCAAGTAAACAGAAAATGTAACGACCTGGAATTCGTTTCACTGTTTTCACAGAAACAATTCTCGAAAAAAATTCCAACATCATTCTCCACCGAACAAGCAGCGAGATGAAAATTAAATACAATGAAGAACAAAAACAGATCGCACCGAATCAAAATACTTAAATCAAGAAACGAGAAACAAAGGATACTAAAGGAATCAAGAAACAGAGCAAGTTCAAAGCAAAATTGTATCCATATCGACGAATCATAAAACATGATTCTTCTTACTGATTACGCGTTTTTGCAAGTGAGATTCATGGGAAAGTTACGGAGGGGAAAGAAACTCACCAGAGGGAGGAGAAGGAACTGAGAGCCATGATTCGCGTCGCCATTCGGAGAAGCGAGAATCGCCCCTCCCTTCAACTCCCTTTTCATACAACTCCGCTCTTATTTATTTTAACAGATTTCTCTAATATTTCCCCCTTTTTTTTTCTTTTAATAAACTTTTTGACAAAAATAAGAACAGTTGACTGTGACCGTTGGTATCCTTATTATAATATAGTGCAGAGTTTAAATTCTTTGGGAGCCATTCCAGACAAAAATCTATAATTAATAAACACTTAATAAAATTCAACCAAATAATTATACTTAATTCATATTATTCTTTAATTCAAAATATATTTAATAGCCGTGGTGAAATTCATACCCACAAGAAATTGTTCGAAAGATATTCTATGAACCAATGCATCAATTATGTAAGATAAACTTCAAGGAATATGTGAAGAAAATATTACTCAAATTATCACAAGATTTGCAATTTATGCTCTGTTAAAGAATAATCAAGCTCAATTTATTCCGGAACAGAAGACTGATTGCGATGCCCGTGGGATGGTATGGCTCGGCTCCCGAAGACCCGTTGGTCAAAGAATAGATCCTTTTTTCTTTGACAAATTTTGGATGGATGATAATTTAGAATTATGATATTTGTTTAATGTATTTTAGGCATATTTACATAGCTGCTAATTGTGGCGATAAAGTATTTGTAATGACTCACTCTTGGAGTGGCTCATGTAAGTAAGGTCAAGGGTATTCATTGTGAGGCTACATAAAACCATGTATGTTGTGTTTCTACTAAGTAATTTAGAGGGTAGGTTTAGAATTATTCAAGCTTGACATGATCAACTTTATGTTTTTTTAGTGATTCGCATCTCAATCAAATGTTCTTGTTTTGAGATATTTGATCAAGAATATAATCTGAATTTTACTTTCCCTCAGAGTGATTCCTTATCATTAGAGATAAGTGTTCTTACCTTTTCTTAACCGAGGGTCAAGTTTTTTTTTTTTTTTTTTTTTTGCAATTCTATGCAATTTAAGTTGCATGTGTAGAAAAGTACTCTGTCGCCTTTGTCCAAATCTACACGTTGCTCGAGTTTGTTCACTCCTTCCTTTTGTCTTGCGACATCCATTTCAAAATTTTCTTTTTATCGAGATGCAATATTTTGAATTTGGGTTGTCTGCATATCTTTTTTAAGCGTGGTTTTGCAATCTTACACTAGCCCATGCATTGAACATCTCCTTATCTGCCTCGATACACTTGAACTCTTCATTTTGACCGAATCCAATACATGTTGGTCTGAACATTTCGATAATTACCGTCCACTGTTTCTTGAGACTCTTGACCTTCAGTCCATAGTCGGTATCCCTTTCAGATTGTAACTTCGTAACTTCTCTTTCATCAACCATTTTAATTTTTGTAGGTATCAAGGTGTCGTCTATTTTTGTGCATGACGCATGCATACTTTTGTGCTTTTTTTTTTTTTTTTTTTTTTATTAGCGCCTATCAATATGATGTATGCATACATATATCTCAATAATTATAAGCTTGAAATTTAAAGATTTTAAGAGACATATTATACTAAAAAAAAAAAAATACTAATTTTAATAACACTTGGGAAACATAAATTGTAACGCCATTTCAATACTATCCAATGAACAATGCACGTTCCTCTCCCAAACTAACACGTGTCTGCGATCGATTGCATCGTCTTCTTTCCATTCTCGATGTACATCGGAACGTTGACTTGCAATCCGCTTCAACTCTGGCTTCCTTCATGAAATTTACGTGAAATTTCTCTAAGAACAACATGCTAAAAATTCAAAACCTAAATCTAAATAAAACTCGAGGATTTGAGGAAAACCTGAGAACAATAACTTGAAACTCTTACTTCTCAAATTTTATCGTTTCTTGAAAGGTTTGGGTCATTCAAAAGCCCAATTCGATTCGTCTGAGTCCATTGAACTGTTCTCGTGAAAAATCTTTGGTGAAATTCTAACTTCAATCTCTAACTCCCATTCTTTCATTTTCAAACCTGATCTCATTAGAGTTCCTACAAACCTTAAACTAGGAAAAAGGGATTAAAATGACCATTTTGCCCATCGGTGACATTGACGACTTTTTTCTAATTTTTTTTTTATTGCTTTATTTATTTATTTTTAGATTTTTTAAAAGCATTTTTCTCTTCTACCTCATCTTGAAATTCGACCTCCAAAGCTCTCAATAAAAGCTTGAAAATACGAATCCTAAAAGAAAAAATTGAGAAATTACTCTTCACAGGACTTAGATGTTACAGGTGACCATCGTAGCCCATCGTCATTAATCCTTAGTGACTTTACTTTGGCAACTACTCATGTTGGCGATCAATTCCGACGACCACCCTCGACAACTATCATCGATGAACAACTCCAATCATAACTCGGACACCGCCGACGAATATATTTTTAAATATAAATGTGAATTTATTAGTTCACAGTGATAGTTGTAATTGGATATAAAAATGGTTTCGAGAAAATGTAATCAAATATAATAGTATTTTAATTATAAACAATTTTTTTTATTAAAAAAAATGCTTAAAAAAAACAATAATGTTTTTGAAAAACATTTATATTAAAAATCATGCTCAATTTGGTGAATGAACAAAAGCACAAAAAACAAAAAATAGTACAAACAATTTTGTCTGCATTTACAAATTTATGGTTAAAATTAACAAGACAAAACCAAATTCATAGACAAATTGATTTGTTTCTCCCTATTTTTGTTGCTTTTTGATTGAATTTGGGAGTCACCAACAAAATCATACAGCGAAATTCATCATTGATCTGTTGTACTTTTCTGTAGAAGCCGCAATCGAGGTACCTACTTTTTGAAAGGGAACCTAGGATCGAAGCGACGACGAACAAATGCCATGGCCCTTCAAACAAATTGCCATCCACCGAGTTCGTTCTAGCGATCAATCGGTCCCAGAAGTCCCCATCATCGGTATCAATCGCTTCAATAATACTCGGTCTAAATTTTAAATTCCAGTAGGAAAAATAATTGTTAATTATGAGAAGCTCGTGGAAACTTGGCATTTATCATGGTAGATGCTTGATTCCATTTGTGACATGGGCTTGACTGGCGTTGGCTGCGGCAGGTATACTTGCGTTTTCCACTCTCTTTCTCTCTGTTTATCTGTTGTTTATTTCCTTCTCTATTATTGTTGTTAATCGAAATGCAACTCGGCCGAAACCTTTCCCAGCTTGCGAAAATTTATCTTCCTTGGATGTCATCATCCCCCCATCTTTTGTCTGTATCTTAACTTCAATTTTTTTAAATTTTTTTTATGTATGAATGAGCATTTTAGTGATGATTTAGGGTTTCCCAGTTGATTTTCTGTGATGGGTTGTTGTGGTGCTTCTCTTTCTTGCAGGCTTTAGGCTGCTGATTGTTTAATGGTTTTGTTCTTTCACTTTATCATCCCCTTTCAGATGCTTGCCTTTGTTTGATTCATAAAATTTCTGGTTGTGTAAGGATTATCACTCTGGAGTTCGAGAGAAACTCTCGGTGCTCTCTTCAATAGGTTTCTTTAGTATATCTGAAGTTTTTTTTTTGCAAATTCGAGTGTTCTGGGAAGAATTGGGAAGAACCCCAGGAAGTTTTAGACCCGGTTCCAGTTGAATTTCTTCATTTCTAGTCTTACTGTTAAGAACCCTTCTTTTTTTTTTGTTAACAATTGTACTGTTTTTGGCATTCAAATACAGTTTTTCCTCTTTCTTTTTAAGTTCTTCTCTTGAACTGTCATTTTTAAATGTATTTGATTCTTATAACTTCATGTGTTCCTAGCCTCATTTTCTATGTCACTGGCCTGTTGTATTCCCGTCGCTGAAGGTGTCTACTGTATAGCATGTGCTCGTTGGTTGTGGTTGAAATTTCTCTATAATGCTGGCCATGAAAGTGAAAACTGGAGCCTGGCCACGACTGAGGAATTTGAACCTATTCCTCGCTATTGTCGATTAATTCTATCTGTCTATGAAGATGATCTCCGGAACCCACTTTGGGCTCCTCCAGGTGGCTATGGCATTAATCCTGATTGGGTACTACTAAGAAAGGATTATGAAGGAACTCTTGGTCGTGTTTCCCCATATATGATTTACGTTGATCACGATCACGGTGATGTTGTCTTGGGAGTTAGAGGACTTAATTTGGCAAAAGAAAGTGATTATGCAGTCTTGCTAGATAACAAACTTGGGCAGACGAAGTTTTGTGGTGGGTATGTACACAATGGCCTTTTGAAGGCAGCTATATGGATTTTTGATGCAGAGTGTGAGGTTTTAAAGGAACTGGTTGAAAAGAATCCAGGTTACACTTTGACATTTGTTGGGCATTCCCTAGGGGCTGGAGTAGTGGCATTGTTGACGATAATTGCACTGCAGAAACAGGATAGATTGGGGAACATTCAGAGAAAGAGGATCAGATGCTTTGCTATTGCGCCTCCTCGGTGCATGTCGCTAAATTTGGCAGTGAGATATGCAGACGTGATCAACTCTGTAGTACTCCAGGTACAGTTATCAAATATGATTGCAAACAAACTTGTTTTCTCTGAATGTTTGTAACTCATAGGTTTAAGATCTTGAGATGGTATAGAATTTAAACTAGATAGGTTCATGGTGGTTGAATTCAGTGAAGGCCACTTGGATACGTTGTACAGAACTCTGTACTGTGTAACACATCATATTCAAAGCTTTTCATCAGTGAAAATGTACTGTATGGTTGATATAAAATAATTGAAACGCATCAATATTGGAAATGCTTACTGAACTTTTAAACACAATCTTATTTTTCTATAAGGAACATTTTTTTTTTATAGTATGAAATTAGAAGAGGGGATATGAAGCAACATAATTCATATCGTATCTTTAATATTAAAAACAACATATGGGAGGGTAGCTACCTTCTATGATATTTTCAGAGAAGCAAAGCTCAATGCTTGAAGATGTGTCGTTTGCTATGAAATGACGTCCCAAAAGAAGCATCACTTTCATATGCTTGATGATGAGCTTTGTATGTTGCATCTTACTTCCGCACTATGCAGACATAAGATGATTGTGTGGTTTTGTTGACTATTTTTTCGAACACACGTTTAATCTCTTGGAAGCAATAAATCTCTATTTATGCTTTACTCTTGGTGTTAAATGATTATAGTCAATGTGCTTGATTGTGATGTACCAGGATGATTTCTTACCTCGGACTACCACAGCTTTGGAAGATGTATTCAAATATCTTGTCTGGTACGATTACAATCTTGTTAGCACCTCTTTCTAAATTCTTTTAAAAAATCATGGACAAATTTTACATCTATGTTTCAACAAGCATGAATGGTAAAAATTGTCGTAGGCATTTGCTGAAGACTTCTTTCTTGTTAGTGAATTAAGCACTTTTGTTATATGCTAGATCTTTTACATCGTAATGATTGATTATCCTTGTCTGAACAGCCTACCATGTTTATTATGCGTGATGTGCTTGAAGGATACATGCACAATGGAGGAGAAGATGCTTAAAGATCCAAGACGCCTTTATGCACCTGGTCGTCTTTATCACATTGTTGAGCGAAAACCCTTTAGGTAAGAAAGGCTTTATTTAAGTTAAGGTAGTTCAAAGTTAGTTCAATTAGAAATGGTTCCTCACTTGGTGACATGATGATGCATTTTTTTACTAGATAGGGAACTCTCAGTTAAGTCATTTATTCTTTGCTCTTTTAGTTCCAACTGTTGATGAAGGTTATTGAATGCATTGGGTGCTCATTAACGCTTTCTTAATAATCGTATTCAGAATGTTATTCAACTTCTTTGTAAAAAATTGTTTAGAGAAGAAAAGCTAAAAAACCAAAGAATCTGATTGGGTCGATTTCCAGTTTTTTTTATGAATGCTAGGAGGGATCTGAAGGTGAGTTAATGTAATGGTTCGAGTTTTGAAGAGGCCGGGTAGTTAGAATTAGCAGGACTCGCCTTTCGTATTTCTGTTGTGGTAACAATGTTATGTGACGTAATAAAAAGAAGGGAAAAAGGTCGATACAAGCTTACCGAAGACCTTAGTGTGTTCAAACTTTCCTCAAGTCTGCTATCCTTTGTACTGTAACAGTGGGTGTTGCTCCATGATTGAGGAGGTCCTCTTGAACCCTCCTTCTCATGACAAAGGGGAAGAGTCCCGTGGCAGACTCATTTTTTTTCCGCTACTTTGTGGGGCATTTTGCTTTAGAGGAATAGTAAAATCTTTAGAAAGTCCGAGAGGTCTTGTGGGCATCCGTTAATCGAACTTTTTCGTTAACTACCAGTTTGGTCTCGTTCTTTTGGATTGGGGTCCGTTCTTCTAATTAGCTTTGAGGTTTGTTTTTTTGTAGGTCCTTGTGCATCCTTCTCTCACTGATATTGTCCATTTTCAGGATAGGAAGATTTCCTCCGGTTGTGAAGACAGCAGTGCCTGTAGATAAGAGGTTTGAGCATTTAGTCCTTTCTTGCAATGCTACTTCAGACCATGCTATCATATGGATCGAGAGAGAGTCTCAGAAGGCTCTTGATGTAAGTCATCTTTTGCCTCTTGCTTCAGCAGTAAAACAAGATTATATTTTCTAGTTTAGATGGGGAATCGCTGGAAGTTCCCAACCACATTTTTATGATATGTTTGTGATCATGAAATTCACTTACGTATTAGTAATCGACATGGCCGAGCGTCTGTATGTGGCTATTTGACATCACATTAACGAGCTACATGTTGGACAGCTTGTCCATCCTTTTCCCGCACATGTATTTCTGATGATTCATTTAAGTTTTGGTAGGTTAATAGAATTTGCATCAGCTGAAATGTGTTGAAAAAAGTTAGTCTTTTCCTTTCCCCAGATCATGTTGGAGAATGATAAAGCCTTGGAAATCCCAGTGCAGCAGAGGATGCAACGGCAGGCTTCGGTAGAACGAGGACATGGCGAAGAATACCAGGCAGCTCTCGAGCGAGCTGCTGCTTTGGAAATCCCTGATGTAAACTTACCACCCTCCTACGGAACGTTCAATGAATTGGAAGAAGGTGAGAATTCTAGCCAATCAATCGAAGATGCATTGGTATCATCATCGACAAAACGAAGGGATCGATGGGATAAGTTCATAAATCAGTTTTTCGACGTGGATCAGTCTGGTAAAATGGTGTTCAAGAAATCTTAAGCCTTTCTGAATTATGAATTCTTAGGAGGAAGTAGAAGCTGCAAAGTTTCATTTTTTTTTTACTGTAAAAAGAAACAGAGATTTAGTAGATGCCTCATTTATTCCTTGAATAGCACGGATAGAGTTTTTTTTTTTTTCCTTTTTCTTGGCTTTGATTTGCTTTGCTTCATTTGGTAAGCAAAAGCCTTAGTCTAGAAATGATGTTGTGGTAAAATGGATTGTTATCATTTATTATTTTATAATAGTGAATAAGATGTTGAGAATATTCTTGACATGTCCAAGAAAATGGCCTCTTGCATCCATTGTAAAAGGGTGATTATCATTAGTAATGCATAAAACACCATTTACAACTGCTGTTTAATCATTGCAACAAATAACATCGATTACCCTGATCTGCAATGTGTTCACAACTTCCAATATTTGTGGAGAGATTAATTGTGCATCTTCTTGCTGGCTATACCTGGAGATCATGAACAGATTCTCCTGCATTTGCAAAGCAACAGTTCCGATTTATATGTTTTCTCTCTTATCAAGTCTATATCAACATGTTAGAATAGGTTTTCGCAACGAGAAGAAGTGGACGAGAGCTTTACCGTGCATTTTCTTGACAAATCGTTCAAACTCCTCGAGGTTATGTCTTTCCAAGAGAAGTGGAGTGAGCCTGTTATAGATAAAGGATGACAAATATCTCCCATCTGGATCGTCAAGGGGCTTGGCATTATCCAATATCTTGTTATAACCTACTCTGTCGAGGAAAGGAAGAGCGTTCTCACTTACAACTTCTACACCAATGTCCCGTGCAGCATAGGTCACCTGGATTGTTGGAGAGCGATTTTGCGAAAGCAGAGAAAACATAGGGAGTGAGGAAGTGTCAAACAAGATTTGAAGTATGATTTCTCCTGGTAATATATAGGTAGAAAATAAGGTATACGAGCGGTATTAGAAAATTTGAGTCAAATATTATGTTCTTACTTGCCAGACTACTGCCTCGGGATCAGACGACGTATTCGTGATGTTTTCTTGCTGATCTAACATGTGCAATCCAGCAGAAGTGAAGTTCAGAGAAGCAGAATGTTTCTTCAGCATTGCCATAATTGCAGCATAGCCATCCCGATTGCAAGGGTTATAGAACCCAGCAGTCAATTCAGCCGCATGACTTGCTGTCTTGTACCACCAGTGAATACCTGAGAGCTGCTCAGCAATTAAAATACAGTAGGTGTATTAAGCCAGCTACAGAAAACTCGAAATCTCTACCCGTTTCAACTTTTAAACAGAAGTCTACAATAGAATGTAACAAAAATACTTCAAAGAAAACTTATTGCCTACAAAGCTCACCTACCTTGGCAACAATGTGGGTTCCTTCAAAGGCTAACTTTGCCAGATAAAGTACTAGATCACCGTGATCTACTAAAACTTGGGAGTACCAATTAAGGAAGAATCGACCGTAGTAGCCATCATAATCACCACCATCACAAAAGAAACCTGTTTCGTGTGGCCGAGAGCTATAGGAACCAGCATTATCTGGCCCTCTGGCCCAGAAGGAGTGTCCCCTTGCTTCTGCTGCTTTCCTCAAATATTTCAACAAATACTGATCATAACACTGAAATGAAGAAACTTTTAAAATCAGACTTGTTAACAAAAGGTTTAGGCTGCAGAGATGTTAGTAGCAACAAAACGTAGAGTAGGTTCGAGGGGAAAGACACGACTTGTTACATCAAAAATGATTAGGGGGATCATTCTCAATTCCCCGAGTAAAAAAGCATTCTGTTTTTTTTTTTTTTTCTTTCTTTGGAACAGAAACAAATTTCATTGATGAATGTAATAATGGAAGGTGGATTACAAGAAAGCTTTCCAATTCAAAATAAAAATCGTTCCAAACAGTAAGTTTAACATTTAATTAAGAATAAGAATCCACAAAATTGCAAATTTGAAGTTCTGATTGCAAGAAAATCTTATAACATTACGTAGTGCAGCATATTACCTGGAATTCACCAATGCCGGGATATCTCCAGCCATGCTTAACAGGACAGGATGGAAATCTAAGCTCTCCACATGGTCCCAAACCGACTTCAATTGTCGTGATGACACCATCTTCAAAGAAATCATTAAATTCAACACGAAAGCTTCTCATGTAGTCAAAATAAACCTATATGTATTCACCAATGAAAAAAAAAGTTAACATTATGAAATTCGCCGATCCATGTAACGAGGAAAATTCGTAACGGGTTTGATGATTGGCAATAGAGGCTTTTGTTTCAATAAGAACACAGACACATGGCACTGGCTCAACAGACACCAATGATAAAATAAGCATGCTAGGGAGGTAATGGATCAAGCCGGACTTAGTTGTTTGGTTTCAAGTATCCTCATGTTCAATTCATATCTTTACAATAAAACATGACCTCATAATAATCTTTTATTAAAGTTACCTCAAGACCTGTACGGCCTTTTAACACTCGCTCCTTATCGACTCCCCATGAGAGACATTCAGGATTGCGTCTTCCCTCCCTATCAGTAAAGAATATGTCAGGATTACTCCGACCAATTTCAGCTACCCAATGAGGTAGCGGAATACAAACATCATCACCAACATTGCCTCCACATTCATGAAATGATAGCACAACCTGAATTGTATAACCCAGATAAAAATTTTCAATTAACAAAAACTTTTAGAATATAATTCAAAAAACTACATATAAGATGCTGATGATTGAAAAGATGTTGATGTCTAATAATGCAGGTAGATTTTAAGTCTAAGATGAAAGCAAGCAGTAATTCTAACAAAAGTTTCAGTAGGAATTTTAACCAACCTCCTAAAAATTGGCTGAAACAAAAGTTCACCAAGTCAGTAGATATCAATACATCTCTTGGATGTTAAAGCAAGACCAAGAAATTTATAATTTCTTTATGTTCAAAGATATCTACTTGGTCGACGTGAAACTAAATTATTCAAAAAATCTATACAAGGGGAAATAAATATGAGAGTTTGTAAGACTTCCCATCTTTGTAGCAAAATGTCTGTTTATGTGGAGAAGATAACTTACAAATTCAGCCAAGAAATTTTCCTAGTGAAGACATTCCATACCAGAAAGCAACCTTCTATTGTAAACGAAGTCAACTTCACAAGAACAACTTAAGTATATGAGTTATAACTGCCAATTGCCTTCCAATTCATAAGTCTGACATGATGGCTTACCCAATTCATTTGTTTTGAGGGAATAGCTATCATAAAGATTTTCAACATTTTTCAATATCATGAAGCCGTCAAACTATGCCAAGGAAGAAACTGACAAGTACTATTACCAATTGCAGGTGTTCACCGAGGTGATTCAATGTGGGTGGAAGTTTTTATTTAAATAATGTCCCAACCTCCAATAGCCTACATCCCACATGCTAAGTATCATGCAAGAGCAAAAGATAAACTCTCTGGTTTAAGGCTACATAACTAGAGACGACTCCAAAAAAGTTCGTAAATCAGTTTTTAAAAGTTATGTAATGTGTATTGTAATGTATTGTGAATTATAAAATTTTATCCTAGGCTTGAAAAATTAAAATTTTAAATTGCTCCGCAGAGCATGTAACCAAGTATTTGAAAGTTTCTTTCTTTTTTCCCCCTAAAAGATTATTCTAAAGAGAAGATTAAGAAAAATATGAGCATGAACGGTTGAGGATTGTTGGGAGGGAGTCCCACATTGGCTAATTTGGGGAACGATCATGGATTTATAAGTAAGGAATACATCTCCATTGGTATAAGGCCTCTTGGGGAAGCCCGGAAGCCCAAAGCAAAGTCATGAGAGCTTATTCTCAAAGTGGACAACATCATACCATTACGGGGAGTCGTGATTTCTAACATGAACTATGACCTGACCTTAACATTCGGAGACAAACATAACTATCATGTTATCCTACAAGAGAGAACATGAAAGCAAGAGAGTCAAGGTGATATGAGATAATATCTTCACCTGTAATTTGAGCTTCAATTCATGCACCATCTGAAAAAGTCTCCTGTAGCCATTCCAATTATATTCCTGTGGAGAATGAGCTTCAACTATCCCCCACCAACAATCAACCATGACACCATCGACATTTACTGATTTCAGCAGCCTTAGCTGCTTTAGCAACCCATCTGGATCAACTAGCTCACACTTCATATTAATGACACCCAACTATCACCAAGAAAAGGGACATGTAAATAAGCAACTCCAAAATATAATGCATAGCAGCAGCAATCTCCAACAACGACCCCATTTTTGTCAACATCAAAAGATGCTTTCCAACAGAAGGCCGAATCGTAGAGTAACTCATGGGGAACAGAACTTTGAAGGGCACCTACCGGTAGCATCACATAAACTGGAATGTAAGCACTCCCAGCAAAGTCACGTTCGGGTAATTTTGGTGTCATTTCAACAATCTACAATGAACAATACATTATTCAATTTTCAATATATTGGTACAGAAAGCACTTGAAATAAGGAGTTCAAAGTATTAATCATCGCTTTCTATACTTTAAGTAGAATAATATGCTACGTGTTTTTTTATACTTGAAATCCTTAGATAAGGCGATTAAAATCAAGCGTGAAATAAGTCCGGTGTTTATTATGCATCATCCACCACAGTCGTGCCTCTACCACAGTGCATTCATAATGAGGAATGAGAAATATCTATGTGATTAATCAGTGTCGAAGCACGAGCAAGAATGACGAGAACAAACCCGCATATGGACACAGAAACAACCAATTTGACTACCTGCATTCCATCTACAACATCAACTGAACTACTGATGAGAGGATGACTAGCTGACTGTTCTCCAGCATCTCCCACCAGGGATGAACTTTGACATCTAGCATTTGGGGAAGCATCATACGGTGGTGAATTAGGCATGAAAACACCTTTCATCCGACATGCATTGTATTCCGGCAAGCTCTTAGAGCCACAACCGACTCCCCTAGTGGAGCTTGGTGGAGTTTGTCGAGAGGCCATATGGGAAGAAGATGAAGCTACTGCAGCAGAACCTCCATTAGCAGGTTTAGGGACCTGTAAAAGTTGAAGAAAAATGTTCCCATTTGGGTATTTCCTGATATCTGTTAGAGGTAATATACAAGGAATGTTGATACACAAGTTTCACAATTAAGCTGGATGATGCTTATTTCATGAATGAAATTTTCACTTATAGAGGAATGGCTACCTCGAGTAACAACTACCTGAGATCTTGAAGGAAACGTGGTTCCATCTGGAAGAACTACCCAACCAGCTTCTGTAG